ATGACCTTGGTGAACGACCCCAAGACGGCGTTGTGAATTTCGATGATATAGTGACAAAATCCGAAAATCTTAAAGAGGAATCCGATACTAACGATGATAAAAATAGATTCGATGGAGAGGTAAAAGAAATGGTTGTACAAACTGATGTTAATAAGTCGAAATGGGATATTTTCAAAGCCAGGCTCTTTGAAATCCCTAAGCAACCCAAACCGGCGTACAAAGAATATCAAGATAAGATGCTCGTTAAACGCCCTTGGATGAAAAAAAGAGACATTGATTATTTACACAAATTACTTTCGAATTCTAAATCGGAATTAGGATATAAAGTAATGAAGCACATTATCAACTTTAATGTCTATAAAAATTTTACAGATGAACAAAAATCGAGACTTTTGAAACTTTTGCCACGATGCGAATTAGTTCCGATTGCAAGTGAATCTGGTGAACCCATTGATACTCCACGAATCGAAAGAGAGCGACAGGCTCAGGGATTAAAACTATATGAGGCTGGTGTAACTGAAACTGTTACTGATATCGATTCAACCAAGGTTGTTCCACGCTTTGATTTTTGGCTTTCTGACGCTTTTAAGGATGCTAGGTGGTGGTTTCAATTAAGTCTTAGATATGGTTATTTTTCAAGAATAGGTGTAGATAGTCAATGGAACAATTTGGAAAAATTTAAGACCGAAGTTCCTAATTGTTGGAAAGTGAGTATATTTAAAAAAGAATTTATATTTGTTATATATTTTATTTACTTCTTATTAATTTTTAAATTTCTTTTATAAATAGAATGATGCCTTTGAACAGGATTGGGGAATTGGTCTATGGGGAAAAATGGCAAATAAACAAGTTGCTGGGTAAATATGTTATTATCTATTTTTATAATATTTTTTTTTAATAAATAATTAAATAATTTTAAAATATATATATATATATATATGTATGTACATGTTCTTTGAATTCAGTGATTCTGCCCAAATATCACTTCCTGATATGGTTAAGGCTCGAATCATTAGACCTAATGATATTTTAAAATACAAACGTCTATTCAAAAGTCTTGGCATCACTGTTAATATGGATTTGAAGATTATATCAGTAAATGAATCTAACGGCCATCTTCAAATTATGTTAATGAAAGAAGATAAGAGTAAGATAATCGATGAAGTTCATAACCCGACTCGATTAGAACATGAGCTTCTTGATTGGGATGGTCAAGTGCCAAGACAATCACGTCCTAACGGCAATGCATTTAAAAACTTCACAATCCAAAGATCTCCAGATTATACACCTAGTTTATTTGAAGCGAGAAAAGAATATTGGGCGAAAAATTCATAATCACAATATCAAGCAACCATAACCATTTATGTTCCGGATAAATTTGATGAATTGATAATAACATTTCATTTATATATTTAAATGATATGATATTTTCTTTTATTATATGATATTTTAAAAATTCTTCGATTTTGTAACATTTTATTAATTTGTATATAATTAAAATTCAATATTAACATTTGTAAATTGATATCAAATAAATATGATTTGCATGATTTAAAATTTTCTATAAAATTTCTATAAATGTAATAAATTATTTGTGCAGAAAAATAAGGGCAAAAGAAAAGAATTTTCTTATATATAATGAAAAATTAATTTAATAAATAATAATTTTTTTTTTATTCCTAATTTTCTGAATTCATTTTTGCACCTTCAATATCAGCTAACACCATTTCTTTTACTAATGAATCGAAATCCACTTTTCGTTTCCAACCAAGAAGTTTCTTTGCTTTGGAAGGATTACCAAGTAAAAGGTCTACTTCGGTAGGACGGAAATATTTTGCGTCGACACGTACACGAATAAATCCTGTTCCCTTTTCACGACCGATAAGTTCTTCTCCTTCACCTTCCCACTCAATAATTTTGTTTACAACAGCAAATGCTTTCTCAACATATTCTCTAACAGTATGAGTTTCTCCAGTAGCAAGCACAAAGTCTTCAGGTTGATCTTGTTGCAACATTAACCACATACCCTCTGAAATAATAGGGAATAATAGAAATTTTAAAAAAATATGAGATTTGAAATTTATGAATCTCATGAATTTCATACATAATTTTTATATGTATAATTGTATTATGTTATACTAACCGATATAATCTCTAGCATGACCCCAATCACGTTTAGCATCAATATTACCAAGCCATAGACATTCTTGTTTCCCTAAATGAATTTCGGCAACGGCACGCGAAATCTTACGAGTAACGAATGTACGACCACGACGAGGAGATTCGTGATTAAAAAGAACACCGTTACAAGCAAACATACCGTAAGCTTCACGATAATTAACAACTATCCAGAAAGCATATAATTTGGCGACACCATATGGGGAACGAGGATAAAATGGAGTGGTTTCTGATTGGGGCGTTTCCACTACTTTACCGTAAAGTTCGGAAGTAGAGGCCTAAAAAAAATGGTAAGAATAAAATGCAAATAAAATTTAAATAGAAAAAAAAAATATTTAAAGAATTTTATTATTTATTATACCTGATAAAATCTAACGTGATGAGTTAGACCACACGTTCGGATAGCATCTAATAAACGTAAAGTACCTAATCCATCAACGTCTCCCTAATAATAATGAAATAATAAAATAATGAGATCAAAATTATTAAAGTCGATATGATCATTTTAATTTATAGAAAATTTTAAACTTACTGTATATTCGGCCATATCAAAAGAAACCTTTACATGAGATTGTGCACCCAAATTATAAATTTCAGTTGGGAGAACTTGGGAAACAATATGTACAAGATTGGTTGAATCGGTTAAATCACCATAGTGAAGAACCATTTTGGGACCTAGAAATTTTCATATTAAAAAGTAAAAAAAAAAAGAATGTAACATCTATCATGTATTCCG